CAAAACAACCACAAAGAGACACAAAACAACCACAAAGAGACACAAAACCACCACAAAGAGACACAAAACAACCACAAAGAGACGCAAAACCACCACAAAGAGCCTCGTAAACGCTCCATCGACTTTAAACACCTGAATGAGGATTGGTTTCATAAACACCGTGGAAGGCCCAGAAGTTGTTCATGTCTCAGAGTTTGTTTGTTCTAGTTCTGTTGCAGTAAAAACAGTAAACGACAGGAAAGAAAAGTCTCCAAAAGTATGTGGACACCTGCTGCAGCGTCTTTCAGGTCCACCTGAAGATGAGCTGTCCACATACTTTTGATCGTGACATTATTTTGCACCAAACAATATATTTTATTTTTCTATTTTAAATGAACTAATGTTTTTAATCATTCAGGGGCGACTTTACTACATCCGAGTGTCGGCTTACAACATGAAGGGCTGGGGTCCTCCTGCCTCTTCCCTGCCTCCATCTGCTGCTCCGTCCAGTAAGTTGGCTTTTTTATGTTAATAACTTCAGCAGCTCTGCAGCCTGCAGAACTTCTGCAAGTTCTGAGACTGAACTTTAACCTGTTTCTGCAGCTTCACATCTGTTTCCACCTGATTTCATATTCCTGTATTTAAATAACTTCCCACAGACACGAGCTTCATGCAGGTTTCTGTGCAGTCATAAAGTCTGCAGCTTGTTTTCAGTCTTTTACAGGTTTGAATACGTTTTGAGAAATGTTTGTTTCCAACTAGTCTAAGTCGTCTAATTACTCCGCCAGTGCCTTTGACTTGTGTTTCAGCACAAACAACCAGACGTGAAGCTCCTGTGAGCATTCCTGAGTCTTGCAGTGATGCAGTGAGCTAACAGCGTTCGTCCTCGTTTTCATGGACACGCTGAATAACTCCACAGATCTACTGATAAGAGACGACGCCGCTGCTCACAGATCAACACCTCTCTGCAGTTCGTTTGTTGTTTCACTGCTTCAGTGTCGCTGCTCCTCATCCGGCCAATCACAGGTTAGATGGACAGGACTCGTCACCATGGCAACATGAATGAGCTGCAAAAGAAAACGTTGAAGTTTAACCCGAAACCAACGAGACAGCGAGCGGACATGAAACCTAAGTTGAGGAGCTGAAGCTCACTGAAGTGTTTAGATCTAATCACCAGACGGATGGAATCAACAGAAGATAATGAGAAGAAGATTAAAGCAGGTTTTGAATGTTTTAATCTTCTCAAAACCTTAAACTTTTCCAGAATGACGACAAAAATGTCAAAAACCACCTAAAATGTGTCAAATATTACTTTAAAAATGTCCAGAGTGACAAAGACATGTCCAAGAATGATCCATAATGACAAAAGAAGACGCTCAAAATGACTTTAAATCCCTCTAAAGGACTAGCAGGTCTGAACCACCCACTACTGCTGTGGAGGTGAGTCCATGAA